AGGGGCAATAAAGATTTTATTAGCTTTGAAAACCACCACCAAAAGAAGCCTCTCTCCTACTTATGGAAGAGCCACGCCTCTCCAGCTTGTCTGATTTTGTTAAATAATATATATTAGTGATTACTCCCACAGACAGCATCAGTAGAAAGCGTTTGGACTCAATGATCCTTGTAGGTCCCTTCCAGTTCAGGATGTTCCGTGACAAAATAGCCCTCATGTCTCTTAAAACGAGATTATCCAGGGAAGGAGTAATTATTAATAACCAGTCCATTGCCATACCACTTTGGGATTGCAAAGATACGAAAATCAGTTGTAGTTCTCAATCTAACAAACTCTGGTATTATTTGTACTGCTCCTACAGTGCCATGGCTGTGTAGAGCATTGCACAGACTAACACAGAAGAGCAGGTTGCTGCCGAAGGAGCCGACAGCCTGCATTAAACACAAGGCACCACCATGCAACAAATGAGACTCAAAACCTTTTATTTTTTTGAGAAAGGGCTACTAGAACCTCTAAAAAATATTGAGATGCTTTCACTAGTGACCTAATTAACATTTTATGTATATGTGCCTATATAGATGTAGACATTCCCAGATGTAGGCTAGATTAACCTGCTCTTTTAAATCACCAGGAATGAGCTATAGAAGAATGTTTTGGGGCTGAAGTTGAAGAAACTGTAAGAAATGTGTTGTAAGAAATGCTTAGGGGGAAAAAAAAAAAGTTGCATGCTAAGAAAATGTAATGTTAAGAAAAATAGTCGTATAACAGATAAGCAAGGACGATATCCCAGCCAGAGCTAACAGAAAATACCTTGTGACAGAAGACTGGGCAAGAGACACTTAGGGAAGATAAAGCTGCAGAATGAAACCTCTGCAACAAACTGCGCCTTGTACATGGATGGCGATGATGAAGTTATGAGACAAGTGAGGAGGCAAAGCAATTGATAAAAAGCAAGTAAGTAATAGAGAAATCAAGAGATGAAATAGCATTGTACCTGGGTGGGGAAAAAAAATCCACAAAACTAGTGTAATAGGAGAATAAGAGTCCATGGGACAGAATTTAGCATTAGTGCAAGGCAAGAGGCTGAAATTAGTGAAGGGGATGCTGAAGGGGAGACGGGCAAGGTGTACAGGAATCACAAGGCAGCTACATTTAGTTTAGCAGCTCGAGTGTCAAAACGGAAGGAGGTGTGTGACTTAAAGATTGCTGTGTTGAAGGTGTTAGAACTGCAGTCAGTCAGAAAAGGATTTGGAGACAGAAGGCATCAAGATAGTTTCTCCATCTTTCAGGATTTTATTTATTCAAAATCTGAGAAATCTGAGTTAAGTACATGATATCAGACATATAAACTTATTAAAGCTTTATTTTGATAACCCACTGCATTAAGTAGGTATAAATGCAGTACATCCCTTTTGCATTTTCCTATCAAATAGGCTACAACAAAAATTTTAAACGAGTCTGCATGTTTTGCTCTATTACCTTTCACACTCGCAGAACTACTCCCTGCCTTGCAAAACTTCACCTTTTAAACCCAAAGAGGGCTTCAGGACTGGAGCTAGATGACGGACACCTCCGGGAGCACAAACTCATACCAATAACAGCAGCAGAAAGCTCCAGAACCAAATGTGCAAGTCTCGTGCTGAAGACTAATGGGAAATGCAAGCTGGTAAAACACACAGACGCGGGTCTGGGTGTTTACCTGGGCCTGGCAGCGAGCCTGCAGCTGCTGCTGGCTCAGTGCTCCACTCTGATCAAGTGACCACAGTGGAAGAAGTACTCTTTGAAGGACCGTACTCCAGGACTTCTCATGCTGCACATAAACCCTGTTCTCCAGCAGCCGAGACTCCAGACTCCCTTCTGTTTATAGCGGAGAGACAACAGCAAGACTTCCTTTCCCCTGCATAAGTTTTTATCTCCGTAGGAAGAAACTAAAAAAGCTAGAAAAAGCCAGTAGTAGGTGTAGTGATTTTGTTTTCATATAGTCTTGGCTGTGCAACAGCACCATCCAGCTGTCAAACAAAAAATGAAACCGCCTACCACCACCGTCCAGATTGGGCCCTCATACTACAAACAAAATTAAGAATTAACGCTGCTAAATAAAACCCACAAGAGGCATTTTCCCTTCTTCTGAGGGAATCACGTTGGTCCTTTATGATGTGTTCCCAGGTTAGCGCACAGGAATGTGTTCGCTTTAGAGAGACGAGGAGCCCAGCCCAGTGTATTTCTGCCCCGTAAGGCTGGCAGCCTACAGCTTACCTCAGTGTCTCAATGAAGTGAGGAGCATAAACTCAGATATGAGGAAAGGCTGTTATTTTTGGCTCACAACCAAAGACAGTTAAACACACAACAAAAAAATAATGAAAACAAACTATTTCATACTTAAGAGCCTATGTTTTGGCTATTAATTTATCATCCTTCAACCTCAGAAGTAGGAGCAGCAACCTCCAGTGAATGGAAATAAAACACGATTGATTACCTGAATGAAATGCACAAGGTCACTGCTTACACTGCCCTCAGATCTTCAGTAAAACCAGGTTTGCCCTAACACCCAGGAACTTACCATGTGTGTCCACTGATGGTCAGATGGCTCTAATGTTAGAAAACTGTCCTTGTATTATATATGCCTTAGACTGTCCTGCAATCCCAATTCTGCATTGTGAAATACTTCCAGCAGTGAATGCATCTCCTCTTCTGGCTTTCTGAAGTCCAGTCCTAGTAAGTCTTTGTAAGGACACAGTATAATACACACCCTGCACAGCTCTGTAAGTCAATCATCTTCCAAGGGAAAACAAACAGTGGAAACTTTCCAAGCAAACATTAGCAGGAAAAATAAAAATAAAAGAAGTAAATGCCAGAACTAGAAGGGGCATTTCTACAGTCAAAAATCTGAAAAAAATAACCTAGAATAAATGAGATGGCTTCAAGAGACTCGAGCTTATGCAGAACAGCATCAGCATAATCCTAAAGAGGAAATGCTGTTTTTGCTGCAAAGAATTAAAGCATACAGTAGATTTAAGCATAATCCCAGAACTTGAGTGCAGCAACAGGAAAACAGCAAGCACTAGAATAGCAACTAAAGCCATAGGAGCAAAGAGACCATGCCCAAAGATGCAGCCGAGGTGCCAAATGATGAGCCTGTGCCAACTGGGAGAGAAGGTGCCCTGAGATGAACACAGCAGCAACGCCAGAAGAGTCCAGAGAGATACAACCCTAAGGAAAAGTGGACAGCCAGCTCCTCCATCCAGCACTGCAGATGAACAGGAAGGTTAATGAGAGGCACAGCCCATGAGGAAGTACCACTGTTAAGCTTGACTAATGAAAGCAAGAGATCCTCCCTTCAGGAGAGCACAGGATCCTCACGAAGCAGATCTGTACTAGAAAGCGATTGCAGGACTACATTAGGGCAGAGGAAGAATAGAGCTACTGGAAAAATGCTGGAACTGGAACATAGGCCAAAATGCTCAAACCAAGGAAGAATGGTGCCAATTCAGAAGAAAAGCCTGGTAAATAGGAGGATATTGAACAAACTTAGAAGTGGTGGGCAAGGATAGAGCCTTTGGGTCTGCTCTGAAAGTTTCTCCTCTGCTCCAAACTAAAAACCACAACGAACAGCGACAGCAAAGTTTAAATGTTAAGTAGAGAGAAAACATTTCAAAATACAGAATCTCATGATCTTTATTGAAGGAGGTCTATTTCCCTTGCCAGGAACTCACTAGAAAACTTGTGACATGGTTTGGAGGCTGGACAGCTATGCTCAGAGCACTGTGCACTCCGAAGGCATAGAGTTACACACACTTTCCAGTAACAGAAATGGCACGATCGATCCACTCCAACACTCAGGTGTAAAAGGAGAAAGGCCAGAAAGAAAGAGAAGAAAAGCAGATCTCTATTAGTTACTGGTCAGGTCAAATGACAAGAGGGAAGGGGAAAACAGCATAAAATCCCACTAAGCGTAGAAATAGGCCTCCAGTGGAAAGAGATGAGACAAGCCAGACAGAAGGAGAAACAGGAAGCCATGAAGTCTTTCCAAAACAGTCTAAATAGAGACAACACTTTTACACCATCCTCCAGGAGGTCAGCCAGAGTTCTGCCAACTTAATCACAGCGAGCCTTAGAGGTTTACACATGGAACTTGAGCTCATGACAGTGGCTTTTTACCTCTTTTACCACAGAGTGTGACTTTTTTAAGCCAGGACACCAAGAAGTACTCAAGGTAGAGAAAACAAGTGTTCTAAGGCAGCAACCGAGCTATCCGGTTTAGATAAGGAATCAGTCTTAAGACCAGAGTGCCTGAGGAGACTGAGCTTTGTAGTCTCATATGAGTAAGCATTTCCAAATGCAGAGGTTCAGCTGTCCAGAGTCTTAGATGTACTATAGTTAAACCTGCTATGTCACTCCAAGTGCATGTTTACATGCCTAGAAGTCCCACCCCAACACAGCCCCCCCCCCCCCCCAGTATCTGTTTACTATCTGTAGAAGGCACTACTCGGTTCAGACCTGAGTTCATGTCCATCTTCACCAACTTCTCTAACCTTGTAGCAAGCCAAGCTTGCACAACTGATGTACAGCAACCCTCCAATTCCACCGAGGAGCGCAGTTGCAAGCCTCGAGACAGCTTGTTAGATTTGGGATTTTTGTTGATGAACAGTCTTACTTAAACTAGGGACATGGAATACAACTCATGTGAGAACAGTGATGGGGCCACACATGATAAATTCAGGATGTTAATCAGAACAGCTGGATACAAGAGATGTTGCTCATACTCATCTTTCTAAGCCTCCCCCACCCTTAGAATTACGTTGTAAGTCTTCCCCCTCCCACCCTCCTTCCTTCCAACAGACTTTTTGGGGGTCCCACTGGTTTAATATTTAGCATTTCACAGCAAGTTAGTTTCTGCTTCCAAGGTGTCTAGACAAACTGCGTTGGTACCCATGTCTTCCAGTGAGTTCCCATGAGGAATAGTACGAACAGAACCAGTCCTATCCCAGAAAGCTCACACATTTCAAAATTTAGGAGCGGATTTTAATCCAAGATACAGCAACAGTGAAGTCTGGTTTATAACAGGCCAACTTGCTGCTGACCGGTCTCCATATATACAGTGAGAACAGTAAAACAGTGCCAGTTTGTAGTCAGTACGGCTTCTCCATTGATTCCAAGATTTTCCTTCTCTCTTCTGCTGAGGGCATCTCTGGTTTCACACCGTTTCTCTTCCTTTGCATCATTATGTCATGCTGAAAATAGAAGAAAGCAAGCATGAGAACACAGCTTCTCAGAAGTCTCTGCCTCTGAGCTCCTACTAAATGAGATTCTTCAACACAAGTGCTCTTTATATATGAGGAGCCAGATATTCTAGATCTGATTAGCTGACAAGTAAATGTGCTAGTATTTAACTGAAGCTATCTGATAGCTCACCTTGCTGCTTCAGATTACAGTATTCCCATGACACATCAGACTAACGTGCAATTGTCTGTACACAGGTTTTTGGTGGCTTACACAAGTACTTAAAGGCATAAGCTAAAAGCCTATTACAATAGCATGAGAAATGACAACAGAACAGTTTAACTGCACGTAGCTCCTAATGATACTTTCCTGCCACAATACAGAAAGAAGTAAGAAATAATCACCAAATAATGAACTCCTCCTGAGATTTACCTTAAGTTAAAGTGAACATGACCCATAAGGATAGAAAAAATAGATGAACTTGTCTTATGTCTCAGAACACAAGCCTTGTACACATTGCAAAACAGAACTTATTGCCAGAAATATCTGACTAATTTAGAGAGAAACATACCACAAGAACACTGACTCACAATTTAAGAGGGTAAACTTTGGAAAACAAAGTGGAGTATTTTGATGTGCATCTCCTTATGTCTTCCAGCAACACTATACTGAGACTACCTAGGAATTCTACCAACGTCTGTAAGTCACCCTAAGAACAGCAGCAGCAGCCAGCACTAGTGAAGTCCAAAGAGTTCAGAAAGCACTGTAACACAAGTAATACACTTAAAGCAAGGTGTGGAATAAAATTTACAAAATCCGTGAAGTTTATGAAAACCTGCTTACCCAGAATTTTCTGCAGTTCTTGTACTTCAAAAAATAATCTGTACACATATCCTTTTTATAGTTGTTGTCATCCATACATTTTCTAGAGGCATCTGTTTCCTTTAATAGGAAAAACAAACTTCAGAGCTGGGTGAAGTCACTGTATCAGTGTCTAAATGTTCTAACAAGTCCCGGAATATCTATGAAGTTAGGAGGCAGTTCCTCAGATAAGCATGGTATCAAAGAGAGCAAAGGAATATCTACCCCGGCAGATAATCAGTAATCCGCAAGCAATGACTTCATTTGGAAATTGTAACAAACATTATACTCTTCACATAGAAAGGATAGAGTCCACAAAATAATTGTTTACAAAGATTTGTGGTATAACCCACAAAGGACTACTTAGAAAACAAAACATAACATTGGGCTTGTCCAAACAGGGCTTCAGGCTCTGATTTTAAGGACAGAAAAGCAAAGCAGTTACTATCAGTTGTATTACTCCCATTTATATGGAATTACAGGTTGCTATTTTACATATACTCTAATACATGATTTTCATATTTTCCCATCTTTAGAGTCTAAGGAACCTGTAATGCAAAATGACCATGCAGGAGTGCTATCCATAATACAATTTCTAGAGGAATTATTTTTGCATTTTAATCTAGAAGCATAGAAACAGAAATCCCAAATTGATCGTCTTACCGCTATGCAAGGATTTCTGTCATGGTCTCTAAGCTGTTGTGCGTGCCTGGGCATTATAGGCACTCGGACCCTGGCTAGAAACAGAAAAGAAACAGGTTAAGCATCTGCTTTTAATAGTAACCGAGTGCTAAGTTTGAACTTCAGCATCTAATAAAGGGCTTCAATGCACACAGAGCAGGGCTTTTTTTTTTTTTTTTTAACATTTTTTTTTCCAAAGTTTTAAAAGCACTATCAGCAAGACAGCTCAGGCAAGTTTAGTTTTATCATCAGGTTACCTTACTCCTGGATAAGTTCCTACAGAAAACGGAGCCACTGAGGTGACTTACACCAGCTTCTCAGCTGGTGAGGAATTGTTGAGGAAGCAACCACATCAGCTGCATAGAAACAGTTCACAACCAATGCACTTTAGATACTTCAGTTAACAGGCCTCAGGAACAAAGCACTAAAACCTTCTCAGATTTGTGCCTCTTCCTTAGTTGTATCACATCACCTGTACCCAGGTCTACAGAAGCGCCCAGCCTTCCGCTGTGTTGCTGTATCAGACATTTAACAAAACAGAAAATGTTTCACCACAAGGAGACCAGACCCCCTTACACTGTGTGTGACAGCTTCTATCACATTTTTCACCTAGTTTGACCCTAGCTCTAAGAACTGTAAGCTTGAGATCTTTCAGTGCCAATAATCAACACAGGTCCAAGACGAGGACACTGAGAAGAGTAACAGACCCACACCCCCTTTACTGCTTCCCATACATCACCTCTGGCACTGATGTGGTCATGCGGGTTTTTCTTCAAAACAAGAATAGTTCTAACCAAAAACACGAATTAATCCTTGGCCTAGATGACATATTTGAGACAGTGGAAGCAGAAGTGCAGGACTGAATAAGAAATCTTTGCAGAAAACTAACATACGGTTTATTAAAGAGACTTTGGTACAGCATCCTCACTTGACCTTCATTTATTTTGCCTAAAGACACTGCTGCTAAGTCTGAACTTAAACTTTGTTCTGTCCCCATTGGAAAATGATAACTGCAGGTCTGCAATAAACCAGCCAGTTTTGCTTGATACCAGTTACCAACAAGTCAAATATTGCTCTTAGTAGCTCACAGGGTATTTTAAATGAAGGATTCATTCCTGGCTAAAAGTAAGCTATTTCAAGTAAATAAGCCTTACATGTCACCTCTTGTGAAGCTATACTGACCAGACACTTGCATTATTTCCTACATGGCACATGACAACTCTCTGCAAATGGGCCTTTTAAAAAACAGCATCAGGAAAACCTTCTGCTTTCCTTAGAGAACTATCCACTGGGCAAGCTAAGTTTACAGACTAGGCTTGTTTGCTTTTTTTGTGGGTGCAGGAGGATTCTGATCAGGAACTCCTAACTAAAATGGAAACACGTGCATGCAGAACAATAGCAAAACCCCAGTCTTTGAGAAGGAGGAGGCAGAGGCAGAAGAGAAGCACACCACGATACTTCACCCACGTTAGTACTACTGACAAAGTTTTTAGATATTTGCGTGTATCTAAGTTGTAACTCGTGTATTACACTGGTAACAGAAGTGCAAGTACTACAAAAGCAGGCGTGTCTTACGGTGTACGGGGTCAGACTGACTTCAGATTTCCCCTCTTGAAAGAACCACCACCACAGGACACACCACCACCGTTGCTCACCATACAGACGGCGGCGAACATTTTCAGTGGGATCGCACTGCCGGAGCCCTCCGACACCCCCGGACCTTACAGAGAGACTCAGAGCAGGCAGCTCAGCCTCCCACCAAGCCACGAGCAAACCCTGCCAGGCAGAGCACAGCAGCACAGCGCTGCCACAGGCTCTGACAGCCCCTCTGTCCCCAGCACCTCAGCAGCTCGCAGCCTGACCCGAGGGAAGGGCAGGCGGTCACCGTCCTGACCCCACAGCTCTTCCCCACAGCCGTGCTTTGGGCTCACGGCTCCAAACCCGGGCGCTCTCCTGCTGCAGTTTCAGAGCTCAAAGTTATGATTTTAGCAGTTATAACTTTAGGAGTTAGAAACCGTGCGGCGCAGACACGCGCTTGCTGCTCGCACTCCCTTCCCCGTGGGGCTTTTTTCACTTCAGTTCCACTTTTCCCTCTCCTTAGGGGCTCCCCCCGCCGAAACGTGACTTCTTGTACGCGTTCAGCCGGTATTTTTTAATAATAACATCTCCACACACGGAGTCGCCGACCACACCGCGGCTAACAGCCCCCACTTTATTAACCCCAAACCCCACGAAGCGGCCCGCGGGACCCCCCCGGCGCCTCACGGGGCCGGGGCGCGGTGGGGAAGCCGGGGCGCCCCTCACCGCCCCCATCAGCGAGGGGGCTGCGGGGGGCGCCTGAGGCGCTGAGGAGGAGGAGCCCCCCCCCCCCCCCCCCCAGCACACCAACGGCCGCCCCGCGCGGGTAACGGCCGCGCGCGCGGGCTCCCCTCAGCCTCACCTGCCGCTGCAGGGGACACGGAGGAGGAGGAGGAGGAGGAGGAGGGAAGGGGACGGAGGCAGGAGGAGAGGGACGCGGCTCGGCGCTCACCTCGCTCGGCGGGAGCCCCGCGGCGGGAGCGGGTCAGCCCCGTCTCCAATTCGAAAGACGTCAGCGGCTCCGGGCAGCCCGCTTAAGTACGGGCGCAGCCTACCCCGCTCCCGGCCTCGCGGCTCCCCCCGGCCCCAGCGCCGCCGCCGCCCACGCCCCGGCGGCGCTGAGCGGCAGGGCCGGGCGGCCAATGGCGGCGGCGGCGGGCCCGCCCCGGCCGTGAGCGGCGCCTCCTTCCACCAACGGGGCGGGCGGCGCGGGCCGCAGGCGCCGGCGGCGGGGCGCGGCCACGGCGCTGAGTGACGGGGGGAGGCGTCCAACCCGCGGTGCGTGTGGGCGGCGGGCGGTGTGGGCGCGGCGTGTGCGGCAGGCTGGGCTGCACCGCAGCGCATACACTACAATGGCTGCTGGAAGGACGGGAAAGCAAACAATTTCCAGGCCCGCCGCGTCCAGCCCGAAATATGGGGAAAAAATTTCAGAAAAATCGGAGAACACTGTAAAGGGTGGAAACGGGGCGCAGAGGGGATGCTGAGGCTCCCGCGGTGAGTCTGCTGCGGGTTTGGGGGGCAGGCGCCGGGGTTTAGCAGGGAAATATCAGGGTTATTTAAATTATGAAGGGGGAGGAGGAGGAGCGGGAGGGGGGGGGGAGAGCGGAGAGGAGCGGCGAGCGGCGGCGAGGAGTTGGTGCTGCCCAGCCCCTGCCTTCCACCCCGCGCCCCCCGGCCCCCGCAGCCCCCGGCGGCCCTCGCCGGACCCCCCCGGCGGAGCGGGGCGCAGGGGCAGGGGCGGCGAGCGCTGCCCCCCTCTCTCTCCCTCCTTCCCTCCCTCCCTCCCTCCGCTCTCTCTCTCTCTCTCTCCCTCCCTCCCTCCTTCCCCTAGCCTCCTCCCCGGGCCGGGAGAAAAAGGGATGATTTTCAGCGAAAAACCTTCTTCTCCGGACTTTTTTCCTCCACTCCTCCCCTCCCTCCCCTCCCTCCCTCCCCGCGGCGCTCTGTTGCTCGGCGAGGGAGCGGGGCGAGGCGGCGGGGCTGCCCGGGGGACGGGCGAGGAGGGCGCGGGGTGCCCGGCGCCGACCCCCGGGGCCGGGGGCCCGGGGGCAAGGGGGCAGGGGGCAGAGGGGGGGGGGCCCGGGGGCAGGAGCCCGGCGGCCGCCCCCCTTTCCCCCTCCCGGGCTGAGCGGAGCCTGTGCCGCGAAGGCAGTGACAGCGGCGAAGAGGGAGCGGAAGACATTAAGAGCCCGCGGGGCCGAAAAATGAGGGAAAAAATTAATATAAATTCGCCCCCCGCCCCAAACCGGCCGAATTTCGCACAGAAATTTCCCCCGCGGACCCGGCGGCCGCGGCTTTGGGGGGGATCCGGAGGGACTTTGGGGCGCTCGCCCCCCCTTCCCCGTCGTTTTTTGGACAAAAGTTTTTTTTTTCGTAATAAAGAAACGAATTTGCCTGCTCTCCCCCTCCGAGTGGCCCAGAAGCCTTCCCCTTCCCCATCGGTGTGTGTTTAGAGAAAAGTGTGAACCCAAGTAAGTGCTGAGCCGCGTTGCATTGGGGAGGGGGGTTTGCTAACTGAAAGCAGGAGAGATCCGGAGAGAGAGAGAGAGAGAGCAGGGACAGCTTGTTGTCAGTATCATAAACAACCAAAATGGAGGGAGAACTGAGGCATATAACAAAATAAAAATCAGAAAAAAATGCCAAAAAATACCTAAAAATCGGGGCTGCTCCCCCTTTTCTTCCTCAAGGGAACAGAATAAAACCCCTGCCTTCCCGAGACCGTTTTAAGGTTTCAGGGAGCAAGGAGTTAATATTTATTATTTTTTTTTTGTTGATGAATTCTTTGGGAAGGCAAAAGCCTCTTATAACTCGCCACCGACAATGAGAAAACGTGAAAATCCCTTTCAGGAGAGAGAGGTAGGGGGAGATGATAGTGCAGAAAGTGCATAACTTTGGGGTAATGTGCAGTGATCCTAGATAAGATAAATGCTCTATATGCTGCTTTATAACTTCCTTTTTTAATGCTTTTTGTGTCTTTGGGGGAGTTTTGGAGATGGGGGCTCCTTTCTTTTCCTCTGTCTTTTCTCTTTTTTTTTTTTTCCCTTTTCCTTTTTTTTTTTTTTTTTTTTTTTTTTTTCTCTCTCTTCGGACCGGAATGTAAAGCCTTTGTAGTGTCACTTTCCTGATCTAATTAGGATGTGTGAGGCAAAGAGTAAACCTTTCCGGTTTATAAAGTGCATTTTCGTTGCCTTTGAATTTCCAGTTTTCGTGGTGGCTCCCTCCTCTCTTTAAACTGGATTCTTCAGGGTAGTATGGGGTTGAGGTAATGCTCCATAGGGAAAGCTCGGAGTGCTCAGGGGCAGGGCACCTCTCCTGCGGGTGGCTGCTGATTTCCCTGGCATGGCCAGTTCACCTGTTTGTGTCCCACAAAGAATGTATTCTGCAGTCTCCTCGTTTTATTTATATAAAATAATGATGCCTCATCTTGCCTCACATTGAAGTTAATGCGAAAGTGCTGCTGATGTTGGTTCCACGTGGGATCAGGGCATTTTAAAGAGACAGCTTCTCTTTTCCTATGGTTATCATCACCTCTGCAGTACCTCTGCCTCTAGCAGAGGGGTGGTTCGTTGTTGTTTTTTTTTTTAATGGAAAGGTCTCAAATCAGCCCTGGTCTGAGAAATTAATCATAGATAACAGGGGGAAACGTGCAGATTCGTTTGGATTGCAGCAATTCTTTTGTGCGTAGCAAAGTCTTCAGGGGAGTTTTCGTGGTGTGCTAATTAAAATGCTGTGTTTTGGAGAGCGTTTTTTTGGAAAGGGTGTTGCAGAAATGAAATGGTCTCAGGTTGTTATGTCAAAACCTAGTGCTGTTCTGCTAGCTATGGCTTCCCTGGGAGGAGACCTATGTGTGCAGTGCGATTTCGCAGGCATTTTGGAAAAGTTGCGGGGCGCATTATTTCTACTTCAAATAAATGCAGTTTTGTTGGGGGCACCTGGGTTTGTTGAAAAGTGTTGGGGAGCTTGTCCTACACCTAATTCTTCTGAACAGTTCCAAAAGGTTTCAAAAATAGTGAAAATAACTGCAAGTTTTAATTGGCCAAACTAGGGGCTTTTTACAAGTACACCTTACCTGTGTAATTATAGCATCTCTCGGAAGAATCGCCTCTGGCTTTGTTTAAAAAAGAGAAAAATCATCCTAACTGAGGTCTAGTTTCATGGTATGCGTGTGCATGTGTGTGTGCATGCGTGCTTTTAGCATGGGTTTTGCCTGGTACAGTTTTTTGCTGAATTGTTAACTTGGAAGTGTTTAACTGTCATGATGTGAAATGCTCTGCTTGTTCAAATTACCTCCTATGGATTTCAGTTTTCAGTAAAATATCCTATTAAAAAAATTAACATCGCCTCTTAACCTGGCAATTTGATAGCTTTATGAGGAGTTTCAGTGCTTCCCTTACACACCCTTTGTTTTTGCATTCTTTGTATTTGCTTCTAGATGAAAAGCTGAATGCAGGTGTGGGGTTCTAGAGAGGGATGATGGAGCACTAAACTGGCAGGGAGGCTGCTCCAGCAAGTGCTTTCTTTGAACTTCTGGGATTTGAGTATCAGTTGTGGTAGCTCTCTGTGTTTAACAGTGCCTGTGCACAAATGATCTCTACCTTTTCTGCAAGTGTGGCCAAAGAAGCTGTAGTACAGTAGTTGTTGACTAGTATAGTCTTGTGGTTAGAGATTTTGGAAGAAATCTCAAAGTTTTCCACTGAGTCACAGTTGTGAAAATTAAATCACATCAGCTACTCTTAGGCTAGAAAAGAAGTTCATTAAGGAAGAAAGATTAATCAGTTTGTATAAAGAAATGAAATTGAACATTTTTCCAGAGCTGTCTTTCATGGTTTGAAGATCTTTTTTTATAGTTAGTGAGAATTCCTACTTCAAAGTTCCTTTCCAAATATTTCTTACACTGGTCTCTTCTTTTTATTGACTGAAGGAACAGTATCCTAAAATTTATAGAAAGTTGATAAATTAATAACAGTACATCATCTGTTGTTGTGTGGTTTCTTTTTTTTTTTTTTTCTTCTCCTTAATGTGCCAGGGTAGGTAGGTAGATGGGCAGATTTAGAGAACTGCCTTTAATAAACTAGTTAATGGTGCTGAGAGCAGTGTGTAAGAACTCCTCAAATACTGCATCTGTGACCAGCAGTACAAAATATTTAAGATGTTACAACCTTTTTACCCACTCAAGAGCTTCTAAATCATTAATTTAGTAGTGCTTAAAAAAAGGTATAGGCACTGATCATAACAACATGAAAGGCACACATGTTGTGGAGTCTCTCTCTTGACTTAGAGCGATGCATTACAAAGTAAATCCGGTATGTCCAACCAGAGTGCAAAACTCAGGACATAGGGAGGAGGAAGGAGGGAAGGGTGTTCTCACAGAACTTGATACTCTTCTAAATGGGCTTAATTTTAAGGTGTCATCCAGATGATGATGATAATAGCAGAAGCTAAATGTTGTTTAGGATTGTTTTTTACAAACTTAATTACTCTCTTTTTGAAGAAAACTGAATTCTTCTTATAGGGATGATGTGGTGTTTAATAAAAACAGAAGTAATTTTCAAAGCTTCCTTACTTCTAAGAGTTAAGATAATCTTCTCTATTATATGTTGTTTTGGTTCTATACATGATTCAGTAATTTTTTTGAATATTTTTTAAAATTAAAACACCTGAAGAAACAAATAGTGTGGGCTGTTGTTGGTGAAGTTATCCTAGTTCTTGTAGGCGAACTGGGAAGTTCTAAATGTATTTAAAATCTTTTTAGTTATTTCTCAATCCTATTCAATAATGTTTAAAAGTTAATAACTGTGGTGTTCTACAACAGTACAGCAAATAGAGGAATTTAAATTGACCTGCATTAAACTAGTCTTGAATGCTTAGTTCGAGTGTGTTTCTCAGTGTGTACATTTTAGTTAGTAATCCTGAAAAATGACTTTTCCAGTGTAGAACTTTGAGATTTAAATTAAGAAACTTTGCAGGAGTTTCTTAAATTCAAAAAGCCACTGCATCCAAAGCGCAGCCACTTCTAATGGTCGTCCATCTCTGCAGTTAGTCAGTCAAAATGGTGCCCTTAAGTCTCCTCCTTTCAGGGCAGTGCATATGTTTTAAAATTAATGGGTTAAAGAGGGCACTGCTCAGGCACTAAATAAACCACTGTTTGTAACTGTTTAAGGCTGTTTTGTTAAAAGGGAGGTTTTGTTCCAGAGTCTAAAACAATGTTGTTACATTTTGTGTCTGTAACCTCTTATGTATTTAAAACTAGTTTTTGTGAGCAGGCAAATACCTTTTGGGGAGGTTCTTGAACAAGTTTATCTGTTTACCAAGGGAAAAATATTCTGGAAAATGTGAAGTATGCTACAGCACTGAGGCCATTCTCAAAGGCAGTGTAGAGTTAAAAGGAGCTAGCAGCCACCTCCACCGAAGTGATAGAGCACTTGCTTTCAAGGAGAGGTACTCCAAATATCTGCAGCTAGGGAGGATTTAGCTTGCAGGGCTTTTGAGAGAAA